ATCCCTGCTGCTGGCCCATCACAGATGTGCTCCTTGATAATCTTCTCAAAGAGCTTCCCCAGGATTGAAGTAAGACTAACAGGCCTATAGTTGCCCGGGTCCTCCCTCTTCCCTTTTTTAAAGATGGGGACCGCATCGGCCTTCTTCCAGTTGTCCGGCACCTGGCCAGAGCACCACGAATGCTCATAAAGCCGTGCCAGGGGCCCCGCGATAACCCCTGCCAATTCCCTCAATACCCTGGGATGGAGAGCATCTGGACCTGCCGATTTGAACACATCCAGCCCCTCCAGAAGTTCCCTAACTCAGTCTTCCCTAACCCTAGGCCTGGCGGAGTTTCTCCTGAGCCCGTCCTGAATCTCAGTAGGGGAGTCCCGGTCCCTGCACAAGAAAATGGAGGCAAAGAAATTGTTAAAGAGGTCTGCTTTCTCCTCTGGTGCAACCACCAGATTGCCAAGCAGATCCTGCAGGGGCCCCACATTACCTTCATAGCCTTCTTCATACTCCCTATGTTTTTAAAAAAGGACTTTTTCTTATCCTTGATCCTTGATGCTAGCCCTAGTTCCGTATCTGCCTTAGCTTTCCTAACAGCCCCCCTACAGACCCAAGCGGTGGAGGTATACTCCTCTTTGGTGATAGCCCCTCCCTTCCACTGGGTGTATGCCTCCTGGGTGTCCTTATGTGACCTCCCCATCACCACACTATCTGACCACCTGGTGCTAATGGCTCCAGCCTTACAACACTGTCAGATAGGACAGTGCTGTTATCCCCATTGTACAGATGGAAACTGGGTAACAAGATAAGGGACTTGCCCAGTTACACAGGAAAACAGTGGCAAAGGAGGATACTGAGCCTCCCAAACCCAAAGTCAGCCTGGTACCCACTGAGCCACCTTTCCTCTTGTTTCCACGGAAGGAACCTGCAGCTGTCTCCCCAGCCCTGCAATACTGTTTGAATGGCAGTTCGGGGAATAGTGTGTAATCTCTGGGACTGCTGCAGTGCTGGACTGGGAGAAGGCTGAACTGTTGGGGAGTTCACATCCCATGTCCAGCCAGAGATGGGTGTCTGGCAGCTCTAGCCCATGTCCTGTGCACAGAGCACAAGGCTATACTTGTCCTACTCCAGTTCTGGGTGCAAGGGGAGGCAGTGACACAGGGCCCCCAGTGCCCTGGGACTTCCTACTGTGATGCATTAACTCTTTTTGTTCCTCTAGCCTATCCTTTAGATGTTGCCCCCTGCTTCCACTCATACCCAATCCCCTATAAGTATGGGCCCTACTGTCTCCTGCAGGCCAGTTAAAGGACCACTCCCAAATTAGGCAAATGGGCCAATTTTTCAGCATAAGCAAGAGCACATAGAGCTGTGGAGATGCAATGAGGGCATTGTGGGGTGACTGCAAGGGCCTGTAAGGCCATGGCATAGCCACTGCATCAGACTGAAGCACGTAGCCGAATCACTTAAGCACTGCATCAAGCCGTGTGAGGTAACCAAGTGCCGAGGGCACCTCTGTGTGTCACCCCCCTTTCAAAACAATTGCCAGGTCATGGTAGAAGCCTGATTGAACCTGCCCTTTCCTCTCAATGCCAGGAGCTCATCTGCTCTCTGGAAGACTGTTGGTTACATAAGAAAGCGCCTGAGGCTGACAGTGGTGGTGGAGGTGCAGAACAATGCGGGCATGTTCAGATTTGCACACAGGTCTCCAGAAGGGAGAGCCATTCCCATCTCACAGGGAGCCCTGTGGAGGGACAGGAGAAAAAAAGCCCCCTCAGAGTCTGGCAAGATCTGAGGAGAAACCTTACCCCATGCAATCACCCTGACAAAAACGAGATGGAAACCCAAGTCCTGTTTCTGTCTCTGCCACAGGCGCTCATGTGATGTGGGGCATATCACACGGTCTGGGTTGCAGTTCCTCGTCTGCAAACTGGGCATAACTGGGGGTAGGGGGATTATGAGACTGGATTTATTAATGCATGTAGAGTGGTTAAAGATCCTTGGCTGAGGCATGCTGTGAGAGGGCAAAGCATTTCTGAGGCACAGATTAAGCTCCTCACTGAGCTTCCTGCTCCCTAGTGCTGAGCATTACTAAGGTAATCACATGGCGATGTATTTCTTCCCTCATTTTGGGAGCTCTTCTATTCTGCATGTGGTTACGTGCATTGTGATCTGCTATTTCACATTGCTCCCGTGCCCCTGGTCTTTGTGGGAGGTTTCCTTTATCTGGCAGGATGCATTGGAGATTCACAGACACATCCCTCCATGGAAAGTCCTTTTGGTCTCCAGGCTCATTGTCTTGCATGGTGTTTCTCCAGGTTCATGGGATGGTGTTTCAGTCTGGGGTGAATATAGCCCTAAGGTTAACACCCATGTCAGATCTTCCTGGCTCTCCAGTGTGGGTGGAAACCTCTGCTCAAATGAGTCCAATCTTGTGCATCTTGAAGAACAATTAGAGTCTTCATGTGTTTCCCACCAGGTCCTTTGAAAACCAGATCCAAGCTCTCCCAATCCTCCTTCCAGAAGCAGTCAACAGTCATGGATGTGGACAGCTTCCCAGGACGCCCTCAGAGTGCCAAGCTGTCTTCCCTCAGTAACACAGGTATGCCCACGGCATCGAGCTGCAAGTGGTGCCCACCAGTGAGAACACCTTCCTGAGGCTGTGGGCCATAGAAACATCCCCTGTCTTCATAAGTTTCCCAGCAGACATCTCCCCACTCAGAGCCTGGTAAAGTTAAGGGACTTAAGTAGTCAGGGAGTGTTCCAAGAAGGGCCTCCCTACCTATCCATACAAGGGACAAGCATACGAGTCTGCTTTGGGGTTTTCAGGGGAAATCCCCCCTCATTGGGTTCATTAGCATAGGACCCAGGAACTAGTTTTTATCCACAATAGAAGTAGCCAGCAGAGGGGACATGAACTGCAGAAAAAGCCCTCATGCCTTTTGTCATGGCTAATGTTCGAAGCCCCAGTGGGATGTTGTCTTGCATTCTGAAGCCAAACAGTGTATGGGGACTGGGGACTCAGTGGGGAGGGGCAAGGAGGAAATCACCGGGACACATTTGCCCTTGGCCTGCATCAAGATGAGAAGGCTCCATGTGGTTTCCCTCCTCCTAGCCCCCGCCATGCAGGTGACTATATCATCAAGCCGCACACAGGTCCTTCAGCTGTCCCACCTCCAATGGGGGACCTGCATGTTAAAGCAGCTGCAGACAGGACTCCACTGTGCCCTGGGGACAGCATCAGGGCCCATCTCCTCAATGGGGCAGTCCCTGTGCAGAAGGGCCCATTGGGCTGCTTCGGTCCATTGTGACCTGGGGTCACACTCCGCCATCTGGCTCCAACCCTAGCCTTGCAACCCGCACAAGGAGATAGGGAAACAGAACATGAAGAAAATAGTGTGCTCCCCTTTCCAGCTGCTGGGTCTTCCCTGCTGCCACTCCACACTGCAGCAAAGGGCAGAACCTGAAAGGAGAAGGAGAAAAGACCGGGTCTTGATTCCAAGCCTCTTAAGGATGCTGGGGAGATGATGACCAGTACAGCGGCATGCACTAAGCTAGCCCACTGACTTCAGTTCTTTGCAAAAGATCCTCTCCCTGCCAATTGTGATAGACGGGTGGTTTGGAGGCCTTTTGCTATCCTTTCATCAACCCATCCATCTGTCCATGAAGCCACTGCTTGATGGTAGGGATCAATGGCCATCTGGTTTCCAACGCAGTCAGTTAGGAGAAGCTGGGCCGCCTGAGGAAAACAGTGGGAAATCACAGAAGCTCTCAACAGAACTGAGAGACATAATTCACTGCCTGCCATTAGCAGGGAGATTAACTGCACTTAGAAGTGCATAAGCCTGCTAGAGAAAGAGCCAGTGTTTAGCTAGGCAGAGTTAAATATAGAAGGAAAGCAGGCAAGGAGAACTGATGGATAGATGGCTTGAAGATGAATATACTACTAGAGACAGTTGGAAATAATGGACTGGGCAAAGTTCACTACTGGGCAGAGGGACAAATTCTGCTCATTGCCAGAGCCCTGTGCTCAGTTTTGTGGCTTGGGTGGGTGTCAATAAATGAACAGGGAGCAGGCATTATGAGAAGATGGAGTGGGTGAGGGACAGCGGAGGCAAAAGGAGGAGGCCGGTAGAAGAGAACTGAGGTATGAAGAGTGAGAGCTGAAGGGTGGATGGAAGAATGGACAGAAGGGTGGTGGGGTAGGGAGGAAATAATAAGGAAGTGAGATAGGAGGCAGTGGCAACTACAGGGGAGGTTGTATGGAAGGCCAGAGCATCAGATGAGGACAATCCATTCATTCATCTTTGTCATTTTCCCTTGGGGGCAGCGAGGTCCCTGAAGGACAGGCCAGTGTCATCCCAGGGTCGACTGTCCCAGACAAGCCTGATCCATCCACCAAGTCCAACACAACCCCAGGAGGAAAGAGATGACTTTCCCATGCAGGAGAAAGAGACCCTGGAGTTTCAGCTCACTGTGCCCATGGGCCAGCAGACGGACGAGCAGGCAGCTCCGTTTCAGTGATGGTGGTGGCAGACAAGCGGTTCTCACTGGCGGAAACCAGGCAATAAAGTGGGAGCAGAACAGAGTGGGGGGGCTGTGTGCATGTGTCGCTGCTGTAGGAACAGGGAGCTTTTTGTGCAGGCCCTTCCACACAGCAACACTGTTTCTGGGGGTCTGGGCAGGCCCTGGCTTGCATGGAAACAGCCCTTCCCAGGGCCTTGCAAGGCTTTCTCCCTTGGTAGCTTTGTCCCAGGAGATGGGGGCAAATATCAGCTGCCCTGGGTGAACTGGTTAGATACCAGCATGCGAGCCTCAGCCTCCCCTCGTAGGGATGCCTCAGCCAAATGATGGCAAAGTTAGTGGCGTGACTGAACGACAGGTGCCAGAGCAAGGGCAGGGTCCTGCTACAAGGCCTGGGGTTGTTCTCATCCTGAGTGGAACAAGAGGCTGAGTGGCACTGCCTTGGCACTGTGGACCATTCAGGCTGGGATATATGGTCTTCACTGGCTGCACCTTCGTACTAAAGAGCAGGGGAGGATGCAGCCTGCTTTGCTTCATCCCCCTTGGGGTAGCCCTCTGGCTGCTGGGTAAGTGTCCAGTTCTGCCACCTTGTGGATACCCCTTGAGTACTCGCGCACAGGTGCTGACGCTTGTGGGATCATCTCTCTACCAGTCTGACTGAGGTTTGTGGAGCAGAAAGGCTCCAAGGGAGAGACTACTGTATGTACTGTGCATAATGCTGCTGCTCTTCCATGCATCTTCCATTCTCCAGCCCTTCCACAGTGTTTGATTCTAAACAGGCCTTGTCTACATCTCTCCCTGGCTCTAGTTGCAATTGCTGCTAGAGCTTATGCACATCCACATACTTGTGGCAGGCCCCCCTCTCAGCAGCTGTGCCGGAGGGG